AGCCTTCTTTTGGCTTCTATTTGCTTGGAATATTGATCTCCACCCTTTATTTTTAGTCTATATGCATCCTTGCAGGTTAGATGGTGTTCTCTGAAGACAGCATAACTGGCCTGTATTTTCTTATCCATTCAGCCAGCCTATGTCTCTTGAGTGGAGAGTTTAAGCCATTCACATTTATTTAGAGAACTGATAGGTAAGGTAGATTACTGTTCATTCTGTTGGGGATTGTTGCTGATGAGTTCTGTCTTGAGCCATTGTAATATCTGGCCTTTAATATCTTTGGTTTTGGTTTTTTTAACGTGGTTATTATTATGATGTTCCGTGCTTAATGCTGTTTTAAGTACTTCTTGTAAGGCTGGTCTTGTCTTGGTGAATTCTCTGAGCCTTTGCTTGTCTGAGAATGTTTTTATGTCTCCTTCATATACGAAGCTTAGTTTTGCAGGGAATAATATTCTAGGCTGTGCATTGTTTTGTTTCAAAAGAGTGAGAATGGGGCCCCAGTCTCTCCTTGCTTGTAAAGTCTCGTTAGAGAAGTCTGATGTTATTCAAATTGGCTTTCCCTTGTATGTTACTTGCTTCTTTTGTCTTACAGCTCTTAGAAGGCCTCTTGGTTGATACTTTGGTCAGTCTGATGACGTGCGTGTGACGTCTTCCTGTTTGCGTTGAATCTCCCAGGGGTCCTTTGAGCTTCTTGAACTTGTATATCAAGATTTTGAGCAAGGCCTAGGGAATTTTCCTCTATTATATCTTCAAACAGCTTGTCCAACCCTTGAGTGTTGTCTTCTTCTCCTTCTTGTAAGCCTATAACCCTCACATTAGGTTTCTTTACATAATCCCACAGCTCTTGTAGGCTTTGCTCTTTTCTCTTGTTTCTCTGCTCTATTTCTGTGACTGATTTATTTAATTGGAGGGTGTTATCTTCAAGCTCTGAGATTCTTCTTCTGTTTCATCTACCCTGTTCTTGAGACTCTCCACTGTATTTTGTAGTTCCTTGAATTGATTCTTCATTTCCAGGAGTTCGGTTACACTTTTCTTCATTGTGTCTATTTCTTTTCCCATATCCTGGAGGCTTTTTGTGATTTCTTTATGTTGGTTATTGAGTTGTTGTTTCAGCTCGGTGAGTGTTCTTATGATCCTCATACGAAATTCCTCTTCTGTCATATTGGTTTCCTGATTTGGTGTGTCTTCGTTCTAGGGGCTGGTGCTCCTCTTTGGGGTGTGTTTTCCGTTTGGTTCTTCATATTTCCTGAGTTCTTTCACTGATTTCTTCCCATGTCGATCAGTTGTTGTTTCTTTCCTTAAGTTATTGTTTGGGTATTCACACACCTTGTTTAGTTTCTTAGGCGTTAGGTGGTGTCTGTGGGTGAAATTGGTCCACTCCCTGTATATTGAGACAGGGTGCTGTGAAAAGGCTGTGCAGGATGCCGTCCCTGTCAGTAGGTGGCGTTTGCTTGGAGGAAAGCTATGCTGGATTTTGGTGTAAGCCTGCCTCAGGCCCTTAGCAAGGGTCAAAGTTCTGTTCTTCGCTTCCAGGGAAAGCTGTCAGGCGGGGCTGAATGTCCCGCTCAGCCAGAAAGTCTGGGTGAGGCGGCTGTCTGAGACCAGCAGTCTGAGCGGCCTCGCTTCTTTCCACCCTCCCAAGTCACAAGCTACTCCTGGGTCTCTGCCAGCAGGCCAGACCACAAGCCACCAGGCCTCCCGGACTGTGATGTCGGCGGGAGTTCCCTGCACAGGAACGCCACCTGGGTTGGGCGCATGCCTCCTCCTGGGAGGAGGGTTGCCCTCTAGGACGCCGATCCGCCCCTGGAGGCACACACACCTCAGTAGGCTGTTCACGTATAACCTTTCTGTGCCCTGGGCAATGCTAGCCCTCGGTGCAGGGGAATGTGGTCTGCAGGTCCGACCTCTGGGTCCCAGAGATCAAACTGTATCCCCACCAGGGAGAGGATTTCCGGTCCCAATTCACCCACAGGGAGCCCAAGCTGGGTCTATGTCTCTCAGCCTCTGAGTCGGCACCGTTCTCCTGGGAACTCAGTGCCAGCAGCACCGGGGAGTGCGGGCGGGTAGGGAGCTCACTGTCTGAGTTCCCCTGAGTCAGCTCTACAGTCCCAAAGAGGAGTCCGTTCCCTGGAGTGCCTCGGCTGGTGGCGTGTAGCTGTATTGTCTCTCTGGGCAGCCGCGGGTAGGGTCGGCACAGGAGAGGAGGAGTCAATATGGCGCCTGCCGCGCGGCTCGGGTCTGTGCACATGGAGGTGCCCGGAGGAAGTTGGGAACCTGGTGCCACGTCTGCTACAGGCTCACCGCTGGCTGGCGGCGGTGGCGGTCTCTGGGCTGGTGTCCGCAGGTCTCTCCACCCACTGGGGAGCCCACCAGCAGTCCCAAATGCAGGTGAGGGGAAACAGCAAATCCACCTACCCTTGCCGCTGGTCTCCGGGCTGCTCCGGTGGTCTCCCCTATTTTTTTTTTTAAATCTTCTCCCTTTCATGTTTTGGACTCTCAGGTAAGTAGGGCTTCATGACCAGAATCCTTTAACTTTTAACTCACTACTTGCCCTTTTTCAGTTGTTTCCCAGAAATGATGGAATTTCTGCAATGGTTGAGACTTTAAAGGCCCATTGGCAGACTTCCTGACAACAAGATTCAACCTTCCCTAACTAACCTGCCCCTGTGCACACAGCCCCATGTGAATTTCATACAATATTCCCCAATGCACATAGCACCTCTTTAAAAAGCCCCTCCAAATAGTCCATACTCTCAGTTGGAAGAGATGGATTTAGGGCTGATTCACTCATTTTCTCGACTGATGTCTTCCATATTAAAATTTCCTTTCTTCCTTGGAAATACTCATTGTCTCAATGATTGACTATCTGTTCAGTAAGTAACTGGACTGAGGCTAGGACCTTTTTGGGTTCTGTACCATAAGGAAGTATGTAGTGTCATAGCACAGGTGCTGGATTCCGAGAGATTGTTGCAGCAAGTGTTACAGCTACTGTTACAGCCTTTGTTGGTTTGACCAGGGAAAGAACCGAGTGTCACGTGAAGAATCGGAGAACAGCCTTTTACTCTTCCGCAGCAGGATCAGCACACCTAGTGTTACAGCTCTCTTCCCGTCTTCCAATCTTCTGACCTTCTGTCCCCCCCCTTCCTTATTCTCCTTCTGCTTTTATACCCTTGGTAGGGCTCAGAAAGCATCCAATCAACTATAAGCTTTAACATCCAATCAACATCAAGCTTTAACACCCAATCAACAACAAGCTTTAATATCCAATCAAAAACAGTGGGATTCAAAAATTACCCAATCAGTATCATGCAAGCACCATGGCCAGAAACAGGCAGCCGCACTCTAGCCTGGGGGCATTCCGGCATGCAGCCCTGGGCGGCTCTCTGCCGTGGGGCCGGCCCCAGCAGCGCGCCCTCCAATTGGCCACGCGCAGCACTGGCCCACAGAGATGCGGAGCTATGGGGAGGCAGCAAGCGGCCGGCCGCCATCCTGACGCCTGATATTTTCCGCATCAAGATCAGGATTTGAATGTTGGCTCCATTTATTGGCTGTGTGACATTGCCCAAGTCACTTAACTTCTCTAAATGTCAGTTCTTTCATCTGTAAATCTGAAATAATTATATTTATCATACAGGGCTAGTAAAAGGATTGCATATAACATAATATATGGGTCCAATGCAGGCATATCTTCCTTCTTCTATAATAATAAAATAATAAGGAAAATTTTACCGAACACCTACTGGAAGAAACTGACAGAGAGGTCAGTGGCTTGCCTGAGGACTCACAGACATGGGATTGTGAGGTGATGTACATGTGTAATGTCATATATGATAGCTGTTATTTTCACTACCACTACCACCGCTCCTTCTAAATACTCTTCTGTGATTATTTATGGCGACAATATGGCATTCTGAAGCCAGGATCTCCGTCTCTCATGCCACTGTTAGATGGCCATAGCTAGCACAGTGCAGGGCATATCAGTACATTTTATCAAGTGAATTCAGGCCACAGTCCTTTCATCCGTGGCCTAAGACGTCCAGCTGGCATCCCTTACTCTCCATATTTCTAGCTCCTCTGCCCAATTCTCATGGGCATCACTAGGATTATTAGGGCATCATTAGTATCTACAGAGGCCTTGAAAGTTAGCTGCTGACATGCTAACTGCCTGGTTAGGGAGGGAGATTGTCGCTGCCCAGACTGTCACCATTTGGTGGAGCAAGCAACTCCATTCGGTGGGTACCTGATTAATTTCCCTAAATCCTGCACTACATGAATCTTTAGTGCCTGTAAAGATAATTGTGCATCTCTCTCCCTTTCTTTCTAGTTACAGTCAGCTTAAAATTGGAACTGACAAGGCTTAATGCTCAAGAAAAGAGGTGCGAAGGTAGTTCACTGTGTTGTGATAAAGCCTCAAAGAACATTTCATAATCTCTGTGCTCACGATAGAGCAGAAGTGTGAGCCTTGCTCAGTCACGGATGCCCTACACTGTGAAAGCACATTTCATTTTTCTAAACAAATACAGCTGGCTTTAATTTGAGTATGTTTAAACACAAAGTTAAAGGTGTCAATGTCTTTCTTACAGTAACTATTTTCACTAGAACAAACAAGTTCTAAGTAAACAAGATGTTGACTACCTTCATGATTCATAGCAACAAAAGAACCTTTAATTACTACATTCCATCTTATACAGCATATTTTTTTTAAAAAATCTTTCTCATGCCTTTGTGTGTCTGTGATGGGAAAGAGCAATGTCTTGAGGAAGTCTTTATTCCCAAAACGACTCTGACATCATAACACAGACCCAGATGGTTTCTGAAACTGAAATCTTTGCAAAGAGTACCTGGTCTATCAATCCTTCAATAGTGGTACCATTTACTTTAAACACCTCTTTCAGCCATTTCCCCAATGGCTTTATAATTGTTGCCATCTTCATACCTGTTTGGGCTATTCTGTCCTTTACAAGAAGCAGTGTATTGTGCCTTCAAAATGTGAGGCTTACCGATGCACCGGGAGCCATCTGGTGAGGTCACGTGTCCACGTGGGCAAACACAAAAATAGCTTCCCGCGGTGTTGGAACATCCGCCACTGTCACATAGCCCAGGAATGATGCTGCACTCATCAACGTCTAATCAAGGGAAGAAGGAGAAGATGATTGCGAAAGGCCTTCATTAAATAGCTTTTAAAAGGGATTTTTTTTTTAGAGGATGAGCGCAACCTAATCATGGTTGATTAGGTCAGATCATATAACCCTGAAGATACTCTTGTTCAGGCCCTAAAGAATTTCTCCCACATATCTATGGGAACTGAGATGAAAGTAAACTCCTATGGCAGCAAAACAAGGCCAACTAAAGCAGAAGAACTCTGTATTTTTTCCTTTTTTTCCAAATGCAATTTAAATTGGAAATAAGTAAAGATGTCAATGTTTTAGTTTCCATTTTACATCAACTAGGGAATTATCTTACTAGACCCTTAAAAAAAACACATACATGGATTACATTTTAAAATATGGAATAGCTATATTTGAAAATTTATAGCTAATTTCACACTAATTATTTGAACCAATGGAGAAGGGCAAACAATTTTTTTTCTATTTGGCTTCAGGATATGTTTTTGTACTTACATTTGAATATAGGTATATTTGACATTCTGGGAATAACTTCAATCTAAAATAATATAGAAACATGGCAAAGGGTAAACTCAGGAGGCTTTGGGAAGTGTCCAGTTTTCCTATTGTACTTCCCTGCACTTATCCATTCAGCATACATTTTCCTTTCACATTAATGAAAGGTCTGCTTTCTTTTAAATTTCTCCTGAAGCAGAAAACCTGGCCATTCTATATAAGCTGTAATGTACTTCTCTTCTAGTCCAGTAAGCAAAGGCAGGTGGCAAGTCAAATAAAGCTGCAATTAGGTACGCTGGGAATTAATTGTTAATACATTTAAAAAGGAAACAAGCCATTATGAGAAAAATCCAGCTAAGGGTGCCTGGGTGTTGGCTGTCTTTTTTAAGGGACAGAGATAGCAAAGACCAAAGAATATAGGGAATAAATATGAAAGCCATAAATATAATTACTGAAAAGTCAAAATAAACTATAGCTTTTAGTTTAATTTTAGTTTATTTTTAGTTGCATATACTGTCATTAAATGTACCAATAAAAATATAGGGAAAAGTAGTTATATTCTTATTGTAAATATAGAATTTTTTTTAAATATCACAATTAAAACAAATGGTTGGCAATGCTTTGCTTGCATTCCTCTATTGGTCTACTCATATTTTTTCACCATTTATCCTGACAAGTTACTCTTGCCTACAAGCTGTATCATAAAATAGCTATATGCTTGTGTGCCTTCTTAGCATGTTTTTATAAAAATATTACCAGATTCAGACATTCTCTGAAATAATATCTTCATTTGAGGCTTAACAGTTAGCCGCTGAAGGCACAGAGGTACAAATCAAAATCTACCAATTTCCCAAGAGAGATCAGAATTCTAACATGAGTTGACTACATGAGGAGTAAATATATAATGTGGTAAAAGAGCTACCATCAGACTTAATCCAACAAAATGAAACCATGTGTGCAAAATTAGGACCTTTTGCATACTGTGTTGCTATCATAGTGCAGTGCATCTTAATACAACTGAATGTGGGTTCAGAAGAGAGATGAAACTAGAACAGCTTTAATTACCAGACAAATTGATCAATCACCTCTGGATAAGCGGGCAGGAGAGACGAGTACAAAGTAGAGCAGGCAGGACCAAAGTGAAGAATGAAAACTTGCCTTCTGACTCTCTTAGTATCTAACGTTATACCAACCATCCAAGTGGCGGTGATCATGGAGCTCAGCATTTATGCAAATTGTTATATATTTGCTAAATGAAGAGGCTTAAGCCCTTCATTAGGCATTAACTTTTATTTCCAGGCATTTCCTTTCCTAATAAAGACCTGCTTTGTGCTCTCATCCTAAACACCCTTTCTCACAACAAAAAGAGGAGAAAATTAAAAGATGTTTGACATTTTCTTTTTTGAGGAAAAAAAATCTGGGACATAGAAGAACAAATGGAGTGATACTAAATTTGTGGTTCTTGTGTTAAATATTTTATTGTGCCAAAACTTTGTGTTTCATAATTCTCCTTAGAATTAATAGAAACCTTAAAAGGTTAGCTGCAAAATAATGATATGTAAAAGGCTCTCAAGGAAGTTATTTAAGGATTCTGTATAAAAAATAGAAAAGCTTTTCACTTATTTTTGGGCTAGATGCCCCCTAAATTTTAAGTATTAAAAATTAGTTGCTTTTATAAAAAAAAAAAAAACTGACCAAAACCCCTACATTTTAAAGTAGCCATGCCCAATATTTATGCAACAATTTAAATTTAGCATTGACATTTATGTTCAGAAGAATGCATGCATTTGGAAGTAGTATCTTCACAAATATAAAGTATATATTACCTCAGTAGAAACAAATGTGTCTAATGGTGACGAGGCTACTCATGGGAAAAAGCAAAGTCTTAACGATGGGAATTGGTCTCATACGTGTTCTGCACAGCTAATATGCTTCCGCCCAACTCCTCGGGAATATATTTTGAGATTGTCTCAGTTTGGAGATAATTTAATAGCTCTCATATCTGGAAGTCCAATAGTGGTTCCAGCCAATGTCTCTTGCTGAATTTATCTGAGATATGCTTAGTTACGCCCTCCTTTGTATTTTGACTTAAACCTTGGGCTGCCTTTACTGACAGGGGCAAAACAGCTGTAGCAGGTTTTTGCTAGACCTTTGGGACACCTCGTGGAAGGGAGGGCATCTCTTCCAATAGTCTCTCCTAAGAGGAAGAAAACTCTTTCCCAGAAGTCCCCAGCAAATCTTCCCTTTTGTCCTACTTGAACTGGGTCACATGCTGATTGTTGAATGATTCCTCTGGCCAGGAGAAAGTGCTGATTGGCACAGGCCTAGAGTCCTAAATCAATTTCTGTGGCAAACGGAATGCAGTCAGCTTTAGACTAAAAATCGACAGCAATCAATCACCACCATGGGCTAGTGAGTCTGAAAATACAGCACAGCTGCAGAATAGAAATTGTACCAGAATGGCTGAGAAACTGATGGACAATAAGCTTAGCTAGTCAGGCATATGCCAAACCCTGGAGAGTCACCCCAAGCACTTTGGCTTTTATTCTGAAGGTGATAGATGGTGTCCATGAAGGAATTTAAATTTAAAAAGAGTATTATACAAACAAATCAACATTTTAGAAGGACAAACCTTGTGTTTAATGTGGATAGATAATATAATAGTCCAGTGATAAATGTTGGGAGCCTGAAGTAAGGCTTTATGATGAAGAAGGGAACACATTCAAGAGATGAATAAAAGGAGAAATCAACAGAAAGGACTTTGCTGCCAGAAAGGTATCTCAGACTTCCATCTTAATTGACAAGAGCAATGATGCATTGCTATTAACAGAAAATGGGACACATCTAGAACACATTTTGAGGTTGAGTTTTGGACATTTTGATGTTTGAGATGAACCAGTGTGAGAGAAACCAGTAAAAATTCTAATCTACACACAGCTAAAAATCTGTGTATAAAACTCAGGAAAGAGCTAAGTTCTGAAGGTGTATGGTTGTGGTTTATCATCAAATATACGGATTGCATCTGAAGCTGCAGCAATAGATTAGGTTTTCAAAGACATGTAAATGAAAAGAGAGGAAGTTTAGGATGGAACCATGAGAAACATCTTAGGGAAAGTCAGAGGAGGAAAAGCCAGAATAGAAGCCTGGGAAGGAAAATCAGGGAAGCAAGAGGAAGAGTATGATAAACGCACACCAAGGAAGAATGCTGCAAAAAAGCGGGTGGGAGTTGCCAGTGTACCTTGGAAGGGTAAAGGAGGAGAATGACTGCGAAGTGTTTGGTAATTTGAAGACTCTGAACATAGGTTTCTTAAAAAAGAAAACTGTATCTAAACAAAACTATCTGAGATTTCTGCCTGCCAAACCACATAACCTCATTATTTGTCAACCAGCGTTTACAACACCTGCTGTAAATATTATACTAAGCAGAATATGATGAAAAATTTGATAAGTAGTGCTAGTGTGATCTCTGATATCACTGAATTCTAAGACTGATGCACTAGAGATACAGTCCATTCTAAACGCAGTCCTTGTAACAATTATGTTACAGGGAACTTGGTACAAAGAAAACAAGAAATTTTGTTTTAAAAAAATGTTCTTAGAATATTTTCTTTCCATCCATGCCAAAGAACTATACATATTTAGCTTATCATGTATGCTTTTTTTGTTATAGAAAAAAGTAAATACATTCTTGTTATACATTGAACTTCTATTTATCAATATACTGTTTGACGCTGGGAAAGGTTGAGATTGAAGTATTAAATGCAAGTAATTGGTGCCTATTTTCAGCTTCTCTAAGAACAACAGACAATATCAGTATAATAAAATAAATGTCAAAGAAAATTGATGTTTGGTTTCCACTTTTCAGATTTTGAAAGCATGCTATTTATCATCTACACTCAGAATTTCATTGTATATTTATAAACACTTTACTGAGATACGATTCATATACTATACAATTTAACAACTTAAAGTATAAAATTTAATTGTGTTTACTTTATTCACAGGATTGTGCAACCATCATTACTACCTAATTTTATAACATTTTCATCCTCCTCCCCAAAAATCTTCACCCCATTAGCGATCACTCCTTCCATTCCACTCCAAGCTCTAGGCAAATATGAACCTAATTTCTGTCTCTATACATTTGCTTATTCTGGACATTTCATATAAATAGAATCATAAAATATGTGGTTTTTGCGTTTGGCTTTTTTCACTTAGCATAGTGTTTTTGAGGTTCACACATGTTGTGGCATGTATCAGTACTTCCTTTTAATTGCTAAATAATATTCTGCTGTATGAATATGCTGTATTTTATTTATCCATTTACCAGTTGATGAATATTTAGGTTATTTCTATTTTTTTGGCTATTAAAAATAAATTCACCATGAACATTCATGTACTAGTTTTGTATACATATATACTTTCCTCTCTCGGGTCTATACCTAAAAATGGTATTGGTGAGTCATATGGTAATTATTTTTAACTTGTTGAGGAACTGACAAACT